TTACATCCACGGAAAGGTATTGAAGAGCCCCACAATATTATCTAAATATCTTGGACTAAAAACTACTCAAACAAAAATCCATATATCATGAGAGAACCCGGCCTATGACTTTTTCCTTTCTACCCTTCGTCCCAAAACACAATTTAAGGATTAAATCTCTTAACCATCATTACCTTCTTCCACAAGGACTAAACTTTGCCTCCTTAAGACCCACAACCTTTACACAATCGACTTTCGGCCCACGGCCCTGAAATAAGAAATGACAAAAAACAGGATGTTACACCAAAGTTTGCAAATCCAGATTGGATTAATCCAATCCATGTGATTAGGACAAGATATATATACTTTGACCCTAACTAGATTTGATCCCGAATTAAAAATCAAATTTGCCAAAATTAAAATCCAATTCCACCCTAAAATTTAGTCAAATCCACCCAAAATCGGATCAAGCCGGTTTGAAGATAGATTAGGACCCAATCTAAATCCACCATAATTTTTGGCAAAATCCACCCAACCCAAATTTCTACTGACATCATTCAAAACGGAAGGTGCAAAATGCAAACTCGAATAAAGTGGTTTTATCTTAAGAGCACTGGGGTCGAGTGGAGCGCCCTTGACAAGGTTTCAAAGGACATATCTCCTAGCGGTGTCCAACAATTGCCAACAGGTAGAGCCCCAACAATAAATATATTCGTTTAGCATTGTTAAATCCATCATACATGTATGTTCCCAATATATGTGACTTTCCCACCAAAATTAACTAGAATAATTGTTTTATCATTATATGTCTAGTTTTTCAGTGTTTTCAGAATCACACTTTTCACATTATTGTTTTTTTTTTGAACGATACATATATTAAAAAAGAACTAGTAAGAAGCTAGCACAAATTACAAAGTACAAGCAAGAAACGAAGAAATAGACCAATCCGACCAACAACTATTACTAAACATCGATCTATTCTTAAACCAATTAAAGGATAACAACTGAATTTCATCTGCCACCTTGAGAGAGGAATTTTTCCTATTGTTGAACACCAAAGCATTGCAAGTTTTCCAAATTACCCACACCACCGAGTATAAAAGCGTCAACTCCAGTTTTTTCCTCTTTTTACTTACCACCGAGATCTTTAATATAGAGATCAAGTCCTCAATACAGGTTAGAGCAATAACAAACAGGCCACTCCAAGCTCCAAACCAAATCCAAATATGCGTAGAAAAAGAGCAATTAAAAAAATATGCTTTATGGACTCCGTTTCACTTCCACACCATTTGAAGGACAACTCAGTAAGCACAACCCCTCTAAGCAATAAATTATAAGCAACCGGGATCTTGTTACAAAGTATCCTCCAAACGAAACAATTAACTTTGATAGGTACCCAACTCACCCATTGAAATTCAGCCATGCTACAATTTGCACCTTGATTTAACGTCATCAAACCTCTAAGAGAAGAAACCGAGAACAGCCCCGAAGAACTACCTTTCCACACCCACGTATCATCAGAAACAAACAGAGTTGTACCTTCCATAGCAGCTTCTAAACCCTCAAGCTTAGCCATCTCTTTACCCCTCCTCGGTAACCTCTTCCAATCTGTACGCAAAACAGATTCGTCTCTACCCTCCAACCTGTCTGAAACCTTGCAATTTGTGTTTGACTCAATTTTGTATAACTCCGGAAAAGTATATTTTAAAGTTATATCTCCGCACCATTTGTCTTTCCAGAAATGAGTACAATTTCCATCCTCTAATTTCCTGCAAAAAAAAGATCATCCAGACAAATATTCCACTCCTCCAACTCCCAAGTGCTACGATATATCGTAAGCCACGTCCCGGGAATACCACATTTAGCCAAAGGTTTTCCATAAATACAGTTTATGTTGTGAATAGCTCTAATAGAAGAGGACCAAAGAGTATTATATTCCTTTTTTAACCTCCACAACCATTTCGCAAGAAGAGCAAGATTCATCGATCTAAGGCACCCCACTCCAAAACCTCCCAAGTTCTTGGGTTTAGTAACCACATCCCAAGCCACCTAATGAATTTTCCTTCTATTCTCATTACCTCCCCACAAAAACCTCCTCCGTATACCTTCTAGCAACTCAATAATCTTCTTTGGAGCTCTAAAAATTGAGAAATAGTACAAGGGCAAACTACTTAAAACATATTTCACAAGAGTGAGTCTTCCTCCAAACGAGAGAGATCTAGCCTTCCATAATGATAGCTTGGCTTTAAATTTATCCACAATGGGATTCCAATTCCTAGTAAGCTTCATATTAGCCCCAATAGGAAGACCAAGATAGGAAAATGGGAAAGAAGCGGGTTCACAATGCAAAATACTAGCAAGTCTAGCGGTATCAATATCATCCACCCCGATGCCAAAGACCTTACTTTTACAAAGATTCACCTTCAAACCCGAAGCAAGAAAAAAGAATCTAAGGATTCGATTTAAATTCAAGAAATTAATTTCGGACCACTCTCCCACAAACATAAATCGTCCGCATACATGAGATGAGACAAGATAGGCCCACCATGAGGTAAGGAAATACCTTGAAAGATATGACGGTCACAAGCTTCTTTCATAGAAATACCAAGCCCCTCCATGGCAATAATGAATAAGAAAGGCGATAAAGGATCTCCTTGCCTCACACCCCGCTTTATAACAAACTCTTTAATGGGGGAACCATTCACCAAAATGGAAGCCTTTCCCGAGGAAAGACATCCACGAATCCAAGTTCTCCATTTAACGCCAAAATTCATTTGCTCCAAAATAGAATCCAAATAGCACCAATTTGACGAGTCAAATGCTTTGTCAAAGTCAACTTTGAAAATAAGCACTTGTTTTTTAATCCTCTTTGCCCAAGATAAGAGCTCATTTACTACAAGCGGGCCATCTAGAATACTCCTACCTTCCACATAAGCCGATTGCTCCAAACCAATGACTTTCCCTATAAACTTCTTTAATCTAAGAGCAAGTACTTTGGATAGAATTCTGTAACCGGTCTATAATCACTAAGAACAAACAGATCAGACTTCTTTGGAATCAACAAAATGAAAGAAGCATTGCAGCCATTGATAATCGTACCCGAGGCTTCAAACTCTTTAATAAATGCAAAAATATCATCTTTGAACACATCCCAGTACTCCTTCAAGAACTTGAAGGTAAAACCGTCCAGTCCCGGGGCCTTATCATTTCCACATGCCCAAACCGCATTTTTAATCTCCAACATGGAAAAAGGACTCTCCAAATCAACTCTATCAGTGTTCGAAATCTTCAAGAACCTGTTGCTAACAATTTTCGGCCTAACAATCTCCACTTCATTAAATTTACACGAAAAAAATTGCCAAACTTTCTCCATTATAATTCCCGGATCCGTCTCCTAGCTACCATTAATGGTTAATCCATTAATTCTATTACGCTTCAGGTTATTATTGAGAATTCCATGGAAAAATCTATTGTTTTCGTCTCCCTCCACCTCCACCTCCCATCTAATTCTAGCTTTTTGTTTTAAGTCAAGCTTTGTGATTGCCTCAATTTCATTTATCTTGTTTTTCCATTCTTTCCTTTGCAATCTCTCAGGTGAAGAAAGAGCACGATACTCGCTTGCAACTCTAAAACATCAATTTTGGCAACCAAATCACTCCAACAACTATTCTCTTTCTCCCTCAAATCTATCCTCCAACATCTAATGTCTTTTTTCAGTTTCTGAAATTTCTTTAACAGCTGTAAATATGCTTTTCCAAAGTTAATTTTTTTCCCCAAGAAGACAACACTACTTCAGAAACCCTATCCAGATTTAACCATGAATTAAAAAACTTGAAGGGTATAGGACCATAATCAAATACCTCGCTGATTAAAATAATTGGGCAGTGATCCGAATGCAGTCTTGGAAGAATAGTGACCGCAACAGAAGCCCATCTGTTTAGAAACTCCTCATTTGCTAGAAAACGGTCAATTTTGCTGAGACTTCGACCATCCGGGCTCATCCAAGTGAATTATCTCTCCCCCCCCATGTTAAAATCAAAAAGTTCACAGTCCTAATTGAACCAATTGAACTCCTCCATGCTAGAATCACACGCCATCAATGAAAATCTATCTTCTTTACATCTAACCTCGTTAAAATCTCCCATAAATAGCCATATACCATTTCCCATACACTTCACTTGCTTTAAGTCGGCCCATAACAACGATCTATCAACCGCATCCACCGGAGCATAAACAATAACAACATTAACTCTTTCAGTAATACCTTTCCAATAACCCGACACAACAATAAAATAATTATTTTTTATAGTTTCAACCACCTCAAAAATCATCGGATTCCAAACACAAAACAACCCACCTGATCTGCCACAAGAGTCCACAATCTCAAATCTGAATTCAGAATGATCCCAGAATTGCTTAATATCAACGAATTCATCTTTCATTTGCGTTTCTTGACAGCTCACAAAATTAATTTGAAACTTCGATTTTAAATCACGTACCCAATCCTGCTTTCCAACCTCCCCAGCTCCTCTAATATTTAAAGATAAACAATTCATTGGATAATATTTTTAACACCTTCACCTTCTACAACTGATCGCATAGCAACCTCAACTCCCTCCATCTTATATCCGATAGCCACTCCCAAATCGATGGTTTTACGTACCTCGGCCGATGTAGAGTCCGCCTCTGTCGACTTAGTAATCTCCTCCAACGAATTTGATCTAAGACTCGACTCCTTCTGATATCTGGCTCCTTTCATTTTTCCTTTTTTATTCATTGAGTCTCTAATAATATCCTTAAATTTTACTGATTTTACTTTCTTTTTTCCACCCAACTTCAGTTTTCTCCCAGGCTGCGATGAAAAGGACGCTTTTAAAAAAGAAGCTTCAGAAAAGGAATTATTTAAGTTTGGATATAATCATCATAGTTTTCGGTTGGCCCAAACTCCCTACCACTTGGTCTTGGGCCACCAGAATTTTGCAGCCCAGTATTACTTGGACCACAAGACTTTACCATATTATTCAATAGATTATCCTCGACCTTTCCCCCTCATGTGCGCCGACTACATTAAAATTCCTGTCAAAATAATCACCAATCGTCTCTTCAACTTCCGTGTCATCCGATCTAGAGTATTCCCCTGCCTCCGGCGTCTGTCCGACCACCACCAACGATTTCACTCCGGTAACCGCCATTACATCATCTTCATCAACACATCTCTCACCACCCTTCCGATCACAAGCATCATCATCGTCATATGAATCCACCATTTCACCTTCTTCTAAATCATTATCGGAATCGGAATCCTCCTCAGAAAGATTTATCTTCGGATTCCAGTCTCCATCTTCTTGAATTTTAACATTGAATGACACCTTTTTCCACTGAACTTCTACCCATTGATTTATACAATAATCCTGATTGGTGGTTAAAATACAAACTCTTGCAGAGGACAAATTTTTCGCATCATTGGAACAATTAGCTGGAATCAACACATGTCCAAACTTTTCGACAATGACTGATATGACATTCTCATCCCAAAACTGCACAGGAATCCCGCAAATCTTCACCCATGTCACCCTTTGTTTATAAAATACTGATCCATCCCACATACGTAACTAGGAAAACCATCGACTCCATGTGTCCCTATGCCCAGTAAGAAATACATCAGCCACCAAAGATGAACCAAAGTCAAGCAGAATCAACAGACCTCCTATATATCTAATTGAACATTCACCAAATCCGGATGCTTAGAACACCGCTACTAAATTTGAGAGCAGCTCTATATCTTTTGCTTCCCCTACTAGACAATTCTCCAGCCATGAGTTTGATGCAATGCTCATTGCCTCCGGAATAACAATACATTCCACCTTTTTGCGTGTATCCTCATGTTTATTTTGTTTTAAACATCAACTATTCAATGCCTCCTTAAAGGTTTTATATGGATTTAACAACCCCCTTCACATAATCCCGCTCCCATTTTCCATTATTCTCTTCCTGATTGAATCCGCCATTACTCTTTATCCCTAGTTTGTTCTTCCATATTTTGCCACATTCACCTTTACTTTATACCCATTATCCATCACATTGTTAAGCATTCTTTCCATTGCTCTTACATCTGCCACTTTGATGAATCTAACAAAAGCAAACAATGATCCAGACCTATCCTTTTTCCCCGCCACATACGCATCTACGATGTTCCCGAACTCTTTGAAAATCTTCCAGAATCTACTACTGTTGCATCCCTCCGGTATTGTTTTGTAATTCTTATCTTTGGAAAACACCCCCCCCCCCCTCTCTCTCTCTCATAAAAGAGAAAAAGAAAAAGAGAAAGTTCTATAAAATATCGTTCTACCTCCTCTACTTTGCTTTCAATTTGCGTCCGTATTAAAAAATTAAAACTAAAACAACAAAACCTCTAAATGTTAGAAAAACATAACTTTTATAAATCCTTATTGAAATGTTAGAAAAACATAACTTTTATAAATCCTTATTTTGAAATTACAAGGACACTACCGTAACGTAACGTATAAGTAACTTATTAGAATTATTTCGAACAATTTTGCAATCATACTATAAAATTTTAAGGTTTTTTCTTATATCAGAATATAAAGAATTAAAGATGAAGATTGGTTGAAAAAGTAGACAGGGTGCTATCAATAATGCATGTATTTTTTTTCTTTACACATCATCATAAATAATTTTGACCATCATGTCCCAATATTTGAAATTATAGGTGCCCAAATTGTCAATTTCTAGTTATTCAACGTTGCCTCTCAGAATCATTGTCTCAAATATCTGTTATGTCGTTGCCAAAATAAATGATTCGTTTGGTTTCCAAAAAGAAATATAATTTTTTTTACTATATATTGTATACCTTTTTGGATTTAATACACAAATCAAGTACTTGACTTTGGATAAAATTCTGTTAAGCAACGTATTTTAAAATCAAAATAACAAACTTTGAAAACTAATTTCTTATTATTTTAGATGAACGAAGATTGATCAATAAACTGTTATATACTTATATAGATATAACATGGGTAAATAGCACAAAGGACACTCAGTTTACACCAAAATTCTAATTTGACACTGTGTTTTTTTTTTCTCAAATTTGACACTGTGTTTTCCAGTTTGTTACAATTCTGACCACTTGACCGGTTAACCAGGTTACATGTTGACGTGACATGATGACGTGTCACTTTTGATGACGTGACATGCTGACATGATATGCTAACGTGTCAAAATTGAATTTTTTTCCACAAAAAATACTAAGTTTTCACTTTTTTTCGATTTTGACACTAAGTTTAATTTTTTCTTTCAATTTTGATACTATGTTTTTTTTTGTTCCAAATCGTACATTATTTTTTCCAATTTTGTTCAGTGTTGACAATTTCTATTTGAAACCGTATAAATACGGTTTAAAATGTAATAAAAAAAATATATTTATATGGTCTAATGGAAAATTATCAAAATTGAACAAAATTTGATAAATGATGTTCGATTTGGAACAAAAAAAATATAGTGTCCAAATTGAAAGAAAAAAATTAAACTTAGTGTCAAAATTAAAAAAGGTGAAAACTTAGTGTTTTTTGTGGAAAAAAATTCAAATTTGACACGTCAGCATATCATGTCAGCATGCCACATCATCAAAACTGACACGTCGTCATGCCACGTCAGCATGTAACCTGGTTGACCGGTCAAGTGGTCAGAATTGTAACAAATTGGAAAACAGTGTCAAATTTGAGACAAAAAAACACAGTGTCAAATTAGAATTTTGGTGTAAACTGAGTGTTTTTTGTGCTATTTACCCATATAACATTCAAGTCATTTTTTTTTCTTATGTAGGAGCAATTACCCACCCATAACCGCCACCAAAACACTCAACATTCTTTCATCTCATTAAGTTGCTAGTGTCATACCGCACTTACCATACTTTTGCATTGTCACGCCATTTTTTATCTCACCCTACAAAACTGATTGATGTCATACCATACATTATCACACTTTCATTTAATTTTAAACATATATAAATAATATATCAATATTATGCTCTATTCATACGAATTAAAACCATGAATTTTGATATTTTTTTATAATTATTATATATATATATATATATATATATATATATATATATATATATATGATTAAGTAGGAACTCAAAAAATAGTATGAACCGTAAGGACAATTTTTGGCCTTTAGATTGAGAAAATAAATGGTCAGGTTTTGATTTTATTTATGGGAAATCTCTAGAAAAGTCCTAAAATTTTACCTTAATTTACGAAAAAGTCTCAAAATAAATTTTGTTTACGAAAAAGCATGAATTACCGGTAAAAATGGTGATTTGACCCTTTTTTTCCGGTTTACCGGTTTTATTACTTACCTTTTTCACTAAAGTCCTGTTATTTTACCATAATTTGCGAATAAGCCCCAAAATAAAATTTACTGATGATTTTGCCATTTTCTCTATGTAACATATATTTTACTGGTTTCATTGTTGATCCGGACGCCTAGTCGTTAAATGAGATGATGAGATGGATATGTTGAGTTATATAATGTTATGTTTAGCATAAAACATGATATCCTGATGTATTGTGTATTTTTTTGGAACATAAAATGCATCTGATGAAGACTATAATAATTCAATAAACTAACAACAACTACGTTATTTTTTACGTTTATAAGAAATATCAAATTGTTTATCTAATCTTATGTAACCCAACTCATCAAACATCAACTCATTTTCTGCCATTTTTTCTTTGAAACACACATTTTATTTGTTTCATTGTTGACGTAGATAGATAGTCATAAATGAGCCGATGAGATGGATATCAAATTTTACAGTAAATGTAGCATTATATAATTAATCGTATCCATCTTATCAACTAATTTAATGACTAGGTGGCTAAGTCATCAATGAAACCGATAAAATGTATATTACATGAAGAAGAGGGTCAAATCATCAGTAAATTTTATTTTGGGACTTATTCGCAAATTATGGTAAAATAATGGGACTTTAGTGAAACAGGTAAGTAATAAAACCGGAAAAAAGGGGTCAAATCGCGATTTTTACCGGTATTTCATGCTTTTTCGTAAACAAAATTTAGTTTGGGACTTTTTCGTAAATTAGGGTAAAATTTTAGGACTTTTCTGGAGATTTCCCTTTATTTATCGCCAAAATCTCGCGAGATAATATGACATTTTCATAATTAATTGCGAGATTTTGATAATTTCCGGGGAAGATTAATTGTTTGGAGGGTACAAGACTCTGATACCAACTTGTAACGTCCCAAATATTCGTAGTAAAATTTTCATTTTCAAAACAATAAAACATACAAATGAGTTGTTCCAAAACTGATCAAAGTGAATATATTATTTAAACATCAAAGTAATATCATTAATTGCCAATGCAGAAAACTTTGGGGGATGTTGTGCAGTCATATTGGACCCTTCCTTTCGAACCGGAAATACCTGAAACCATAAATATGAAACCGTAAGCACAAATCTTAGTGAGTGTCCCAAGATACCACATACATTCCATACAATAGAGATTGTTATGTGTCAACCATTGTATTGTCATTATTCCACAAGTCGTATCATGGTCTTTCCTTGCTAGGCCGGGGGTCAAAACCATGTGTCTTACAGACAAGTGCCAAGAGCCACCTCCTGGTCTTCCATGCAAGTATCACAAAGACAACTAGCATATTACATATAACTACCAAGGTCCATACTATTGTCTTGCATATAATTTTCAGGAACCGGATCCAGGTCTTTCATGTAATTGTCAGGTGCCACCACCTGGTCTTCCTACATAACATATCCTAGTGGGCTAGCATCGGTGCCTTCGACCCACAGGTATAGTGGGGAGACTCACCTGAATCACAAAATCGACTAACACTCCGCTCAATACTGCGTCGACCACATCTAACTGCTCTCTTGCCAAATGATGGGTGCCTAACACCTCATATCAATCCACAAAAGGTAAACCATACGTCTACTGTCTAAAAATAAATTTTGACTAAAAGTCAACCTAGGTCAAAATTCAAAGTCAACAACTCACAATGTCAACTATCCATCCTCGCGTCGTGGCCAACCCTTGGTTATGTCGTGAGAGCTCACTCGATCCGATTCACTCATTTCGACTTTCATGCAAGGTTCCCAATCCCATCCATTCACTAGACCTGAACTTCAAGACACTCTAAAGACCTTATAACCTATAAAGTTGCCAACTTTATGGTTTCCATTCATTTAAACTTGCTCAACCAATGAGAAAAGTGGGATAAAACTTAGATCTAGCCACAAATAACAATAAAGGTGGAAGCTTTGACACTTACAAGGATCCAGAAGCAATGTGAAGTGATGATGATGTTGATTCCTTGCAAGCTTCTTCAAAAGATCACCTTTTTCTTCAAACCCAGAAATGCTCTAAAATGGCCAAGAATCAAGCAAGAGATGAAGTCTAGAGTTTTCTTAGGTGCAATAGAGTTTGGAGGCTAATATTGAACACTAAAATAGGTTTAGAGGTGCTTAAATACGAATGAAACCCCAAAAGATCATGGGCTTCGGCTGCACCAGTTCTCACGTCGTGAGCCTCTATGTCTTACGTCGT